ATACATACATACATACATACATACATACATACATACATACATACATACATACATACATACATACATACATACATACATACATACATACATACATACATACATACATACATACATACATACATACATACATACATACATACATACATACATACATACATACATACATACATACATACATACATACATACATACATACATACATACATACATACATACATACATACATACATACATACATACATACATACATACATACATACATACATACATACATATATACTTACACACAAACATACAGTCATAAATACAGGCATAGATACAGTTATTGATGGAGACACACACATGCACACACCCACAGAGACACACACACTCACTTAGACAAAAATACAGACACACACACAGACACTTTCTTATAAACACATACAGGGAAACACACAGCGGACATATATACAGTCGTGCTCACACACTGACACACACACACATACATACACAGACAAATGCAGGTAGAAGGAATGAGACTGAGAAACTAGATGGATAGACATATGTACACAGAGAGAGAGAGAGAAAGAGAGAGATAGAGATAGATAGAGAGAGAGAGAGAGAGAGAGAGAGAGAGAGAGAGGTGGAGGATAGAAAAAAGTCCGCTACAAGATGATAGTGAAGGGCCTTTCATAAACCAGATAGCTGTGTCGGGATCGATAACCAAAGTAGATCGTTTGAAGTCTCCACTTTTCAAATTGTTTTTGAAAATGCTGTGTCTTTCTTCAGCTGCCAGCATTGTCACACTCAGATGGATGTAGTCGCAGACAACGACTACTAAAGCTTAAAGATGAAAACAGGATGACAAAATGTAAAGATTGGGATGCAAAAGGTTAGTCACCGAAATGTCTAGAATAATTATATTATTTCCCTCTGATATGTTCTAACACTGGTCATCCCCTCATGGGACGCAATTTTTCGTCATTTTGAAGCCTCACCCTGGCTCTTGCTAGGGGCCGAAATTATAGCCCAGCCATAAATATGACCTAATGACTGAACGCGGTTTCCTGTACCTCTCCACGGGTGGTGACCATCATCCACATGGTGGCACTTTGTGTCATCGGGTGTTTATCGCTTGTGTGATGTCCTAGTGGGGTAAAATGTACTACTACTACTACTACTACTCTGTTTGGCTTCTAAGATAAGCTATAAGAGTTTATAGAGCTTCCCCTTTTTTAAAACTTGCAGCAAATTTAATCTCCCCCCGCCCCCGCCCCCCCCCCTTTTTCCCACTTTTTTTCATCTTCTTGTTCTTCACTTTCACTTTTACCACTTGGAGTATCGAGGGAGATAAAAGGATCAGCTTCTTGCTTTTCTGGATTCCTTGACCATGGACACATCGAACAGGTGCAGATCTTCTCTGTTATCTTTCTATCTTGTTCTTGGTCTACGTTGTGCTCTACGGCCTTTTCTTTAGATGCATGCCTTGTATGATATGGCTTCACAAAGCCTCCTCACCCTAAGCGGGCAAACTCTGCGTGTAATTTAGAACTGTTTCTGTTCCGCTATCTCTTTTACAACGACCTTTCTGATTTTATCTCCTCCTGTCACTCCTGTAGCCCTTCTCAGACATCTTATTTCCTTGGTTACTAATTTTCTGTTCTGGTTGGTTGTGAGTGACCATGTCTGGCACTGGTAACATACAGTAGGAATGAATATGTCTGTATGCGATGTTTTCCTGTGTTTATCTTATTATTTATTCTCTTATGCTGCATAAGAAAGCTAGCTGCTATATCGTCAAACAGCAAGTCGCAACTCCTTTGCAGAACGTGGCTCTCTTCACAGCACGCCTAGGAATCTCTTACTCTAGCCAGTTCTCCCGCCGTGTGTCCTTTCCTAGCCAACGCATCTTCGGTTTCATGTATCCACATCCGTGGAGGCGGGCTTCTGTCTTGTTTACAAGCCAGCTCTCCTTGATGTTCAGGTCAGGCAGGATGTAGACGTCTTTCTTCTTCTTGGTTAACTGTTCTCTAGGAACGTTTCCGTCACATTTTAGTTCAAAGGCTGCGATTTTCTTTTTTCAAGATAGTGAGAGTTCACGACTCCTATCCATAAGTTACCACTGGAAAGATGCATGATCTCAAAATGTTTACTTTAACGTATACAGGTTCTTCATGCTGTTTAGCCTTTGCATTGCTAAAGCAAGTCTTTTTTCTGAATTCTTTTGTGCAGTTGCCATTGCTGTTCATTATTTAACATAACTTACTTATAACCTGATGTTTTACCAGCCACTCTGACTGCTGCTTGTTGTTCATAGTAAAGAGATTCCATTAGACGTGTCAAATTAGCCTTCCCACTACTCGAATTTTGTGCTTCATGTAATTACTGAGATAAAATGAAAACAGTTAAAAACCGACATGGAGCACTCAGAACATTCCCATAAGCGCTGTTTCCATCCCTCAGCAGCCAGCGCAAAATTCCCATTTCGAATGTACTACCTCGAATGTCCGTCTTGCTTTTCCCCTGACTGAAGTCATGCCAGAACCGCTGGTGACCGCCTGTTGCTCCATTATCTTCTGATTGTGAGATTTATTTGTGCCTCTCATTGTTCTTTCACCCCAAAGGGTCTTCAAAACATTTAGTTTACCACGCATCATTTTACCATTAAGTGGTATCATGTCACCTGGATATGTATCCCATACATTCAGGTATGTTATGAAACTAACAGGTAGACAAGACACATTGGCCGGTTCCAACGACCCGGGATCTCTGAAGCGATGTAATTACGAGAATAATAGTTCGATGACTAGATAGTTCTAGTAGTTTTGGACAGTGGTACGATAGTCGCACTGTGGAAGAGATTGAGACCTTAGACAATAGTCTTCTGAAAGACAGGAGCTGACAAATATATACCATGTTGTTAATCTCTGTTGTGGAGACCATATAGGCATAATTTAAACATACGACTGAGAACTCGCACATATAAAAACACTTTTAAAACACATATTGACATGTATGTCTGTACGTTTGTAAATAGCTTTAATATAGGAATGAGCACCCTATCATTTTGCAGCGGTGCGAGACACATTCTTTTATGTTAGGTTTAAAACATAAGAGTTCAGAACCGACATTAGCTCATAAAGAGACTTTCGGAAATACCTTTTTTGCTTAAAACTGGAGAGTCTCGCGTGTGGGTCATGGGGCTCTATTGTGGTGAACCCACTGCCACCTATTAAGCATGTCGTAAAAGCAACTTATTAGGGGAGTATCCCTCTAAGTCGGCGTGTATCTGCCTGAGGGGAGGAAAAAACCCCAAAAGTCTGCTTACAAATAAGACAGATCTGTAAAACGGATCTGCACAAAATTTACGTTATGGAACAAGACCAAAGTCCAGAAGTGGATAAACAATCAAAACGTTCCACTGGAGTTTACAGTATTTGGATTCTAAATAGAAGAAGAACAATGTTGGGGAGGGGCAGGTGTGGGAGTAGGAAGAGTTCACTTTATAAAAAACACTCCAGTGACAGAATAAACGGAGCTTTTGTCGGCATACAATGCCATTTCTTGTTATTACCCCCAAGGGATGCAGCCAGAAAGATTAACACTCTGTGACTCACAGGGTCACACTCTAAATATCAGTCCAACGGAAACAAATCCCAGGCATCTCGTTCAACTGTTCAAGAAAAATAATACAGTTAAATTAGGGCGCCCAAAGACTATAAAGTGATCTACTGTAAAAGGTGGACGGGGAATGATTTCCCCATATAATATACAAAAGCAAAATGACGCCATCATAACTATCATTTTAAATAATCCACACAGTTTAGAGTGGAGTGGATGGACTTCTTTATGGCCTATGTTTAATCCTACATGGCAGAACGACTAGCAGACTGCCAAACAATCTCACAAACTACGAATCCCATAGATCCTCATGAATCCCCTTAAAAACTGCACTCCCGATTTGAACGAGGTAGTCAGTAATACGAACCTAGGACGTTCAAAGGGCGAGGCAAATGGGTTGACTGCTTTGATTCATAAATCAAAAAATGTAGGATAATCTGTTAATCATTTGAGGTCAGAAAAGAGCAATGAACAGTAATGTGGAAACTATTCTGCTATAAAGCAGCGAGTTTTGAGAAGGGACAAACAAATCAGAGACAACTTGCAGTCAGAGATCTGGTTTCAAAGAAGCTTGTTGAAAATACCTTAGACTGCCTGAATAATCAACAACAATTTCACGCAGATACTAAAAAAAAAAAAAATAAACAATACAGTCGGATTTAGGGGAAACATTTCTTTAATCATATGATGAGGGAATAGATACTGGAGAATATCAGGATGACGGCAAAGATCAACAGTAGAAGAGGCCGATGTAATGAGATTGGATAATAATAATTTTTTTTTTCAATTGAGACGAGAAAGAGATTTTTTAAAAGCTATCTAAATCCTATCTTGATGTATGAAAGTGGATCATGGACAGTTGATAGATTAGTGGAAAAATTATTTGGGAGCTGCGGAGATGTGGTTTTTTTTAGACAAATGATGAGTCCCGATTGCTCACATCACAAAGAGATAATCTACATTACTTTGGTCAAGAAATAAGAAGGAGAAAACTTGACTACGCTGTGACAGTAGGAAAGTTGGAGGGGAGGAGAGACAGAGGGAGACGGAGAGAAAAGATACTAGATGGTTTGACATCATGGCATAGAGGATAATCAATGTCTGAGTTGACTGAAAGCACACGAGACAGAAGTTTGTGGATAGGACATGATTACCAACGCCAAACGGCATGAAATTTAAGAAGAGGAATCAAAGAGGGGGAAGTGGGTGTGGAACGTGGAATAAATGGAAATATTTCAGAAAAACTAGAGATCGTGACCTGCAGAGAGGCAAAAACACCAGTGCAACCAACAATCCCCAATATGATTAAAATGAATGTTTAAAGGTATTCATGTTTATCCTTTAACATTAACTAGTGTTTTTGTAAAGCACGTGCTACTGAATTTCAAAACACAATTAGATTATAATTTTAAGGAATTCTCTTTGGCAAATACTAAGCGGAGATATTTTATTTTCGTCTGCCTGTGCCAAATCGCATCATGGTTATCCGGCCATCTGTGAATGAGTTCCCTTTGAGAGCCATCAATCTTCTGATTAAGTCGCTCAGGACTGTTTCTCTTCGTGTGACCTGCAAATGAAACCAAAATATTGTCATCAAAAATATGGTTCTGCCTTGCCTTTTTATTTCATGTTAAGATTTTCCTGTAGGGTGAGTTGCCGGGGCGTTGTGGCTAGACGATCGCCTGCGGATCGGAAGTCGTGGGTTTGCGTCCTGACAGAGTCGGACATTTTTTGGCTTTCTTTCAAAAATTATCTCGACTCCCAGGTCGACACAGCCCTCAATAGGGACCAGGTGCAGTCCTGGGAGGTAAAGACGGTCGGCGTGATGCTGACCACATCACCCACCAAGTGCCGATTTGTCTATAAAAAAAAACATCTAGCCCTATATTCCCAAACCCCTGAAAAGGGACCGCTACTTTTTATTTCCATGTAGGAACATAAGATGTCTGTTTTTATTCATTTCTCCATGAATCAGACCTCCCTAGCGTTGCGAGTAGACTGTCACCCGTAGGTCCAATGGTCGGTGGTTTAAATCCAAACGATGTCGGACTTGTTTCAAAAGCCTTAAATGTGTACTAGGTAACGTTATGGTAAGTAACAATGGCCACCGTGATGTTGACCGCTTCAAAAGCAGATCGGTCTAAAACTAGAGGTACAAGCATTACATGCTCCATACACCTGAAGCTGTGGAAGAGCGTCTTCCTGGATTGTAGTATAAAAAATTATATGCCAAGTGACCTAACTAGTTGTTGTTGGCACCTTTCCGTCTTTCCAGACGTTAGTGTTGTGTTGTGCTATGGGGAAGCATGGAGGGCACAGTACTAGACCAATAAGGCCAGGGACGATGTTCCTCTTTTCAGTAGCACAAACCCTAGGAAGTGCTGTAGAGGTCATGTGTTGCCCTTGCATCATGATCTCTCCCTCTCTCTCTCTCTCTCTCTCTCTCTCTCTCTCTCTCTCTCTCTCTCTCTTAGCCTGCCTTGTTTACTCCAAAGGAACGATAACACCAATAAGTTTGGGACATAGCACGCTGTAAAAGCTGTCAGATCAGACGAACAGTCATCGCTCTGTCTGCTCGCTGGTCGTAGCTTCAATAGACGCCTTCGAAAGTTTGGCCATGCTTCAATGGACCAGGTGAGAGCAAAGGCTAAGGGCCTGGCTTGCCCTGCCATAATACGACGGTTTCAAGTTGCATTTTGTTTTCCTAAAAAAGGTTACCATGCCTCCCCTATGCGCTTTTCAACATTTCAGACGCTGTTGGCATAATGTGACATGTCAGGTTTTGGTGTACGCCGTCCAACACTGAGTACCAGGTAACTTACAGTGCGTTTATTGGTAACTCCATAGGTAAAGTTTTCCCTCCATCCCATGTGCGTAATGTCGTCCTTACATTTAACTACTCTCTCTCTCTCTCTCTCTATCTCTCTCTCTCTCTCTGTGTATGTCTCTCTCTTTCTTTTTTTTCTTTCTCTCTCTCCCTCTGTCTCTCTGTGTCTCTCCCTCTCTCTCTCTCTCTCTCTCTCTCTCTCTCTCTCTCTCTCTCTCTCTCGTGCGACTCATTTCGTACAATAGTCATTATTTTGAACTTATTTGAACACAGCATTTGTTATACAGAAGAATAGGTAGTATTTTACGGAAACAAAAACATTCTTAAACAGAGGATCTGGAAAGACTACAAATGAAAAAAAAATACTGAAAGAAATAATAAAGATACAACTGAAATACTTTAGCCGCAATAAAAGACATAATACGCTTTTAAAAACACTACTGGAAAGAAAAGTTGAGGGTAAAAGAGCAAGAGGTAGACGACGTTACAAGTGGGAGGACGCCATCAAGAGATAGCCAAACAGCAGTCTGAGAGAGTGTACAACAAAGAAAAGACACGGAGCGTGCTGGAGATCTATTGCAGCCAACCTTCATTGCGGAGACGATACCTGAATGATTGAAACACAGCAAGTGACAAAAACTTCAAATAGAATGAACCCAAGTAGCAATTGTTGTGGGACTGAAAGAGTCTAATATTCATTATTCGGGGCCGCGTTAGCGCAGTCGATAAGAGGCTCGTTTTCAAATCCAGCTGCGACTCGCTGCAGCCACGGTCGGTGTTCGAAACCGGGCGGTTTCCGGGGTTCACCCAGCCTCTAGGAAATGGGTACCAGAGTTGACACTCTGGGGTAAATGGAGGAACTAGCTGTAGCCACAGAGTTACGTGCGGACGGCGACACAGGGGGACAATTCTTATCAGCTGTCCGTACTGGTGGCAGAGTACTTATGGTTTATAACCGTGTGCAATTACGCTGGTTCTCCTGACTTTTTTAAATATTCATTATTTGAATGTGATCGGAAAAAGGGAACATTCCAGCAACACAGAGTCTACCTCACGCGAAAACATAAAAACAGGACAATAAAAGGTAAAGATGATGGCGTAGGGATGACATCACAGAACTAAATGTTCAAGTTGGGGGATCTAAGAATACAAAATATACGGTTATCCAGTTTGGATTATTTCTTTGTGGAAAAATGTTGGAGATCTATGTCTTAAATTTCCATAGTTACCGAAAGCAAGGTGTTTAGTGGCCAATATTGCCAATTAAATATGATAACACTTACACATTAACCATTAAAAGAATGTATATCAATGGTTAAGTGACAGCTTCGATATCGATCAAATTAGCAAGGTATGAGGAGATAGATAATCTGGCATCATGAGTAGGATAAAGTCATAGATGGATCTGAAGCAAACTCCAGAATTTGCAGCTTGGATGCTAGAAGTGTGGGTAAACTAAGGAAACCAAAGTGAGTAGTAAGGAAGAGGAAACAGTTTAGGTTAAGCTACACAAGAGGACATGCTGCAAGTTAGCACAGCTCTGAAAGAGTAATGGGTTCAAGCCTTACAGGTGAACAGGACCCTAACAGTTTAGCACAATCTGCACCATTGTGTGACAAGGCTAACAAAACAAGCAGCGATAAAGCTCGCAGCAATGAATTCTGGAACATAAAAGCAACATGCTGAACAATAAAAACTTGAATATAATTAACTTTACGCACCAACAAACAATTCTGTTCAAATTATTAACAGGATAAATGTTGGAGGGAACATTGAAGAATTCTAAATAATCAACGAAATTACGGCATTAAAAGCTCCAGATAGAAGATGAAAGCCAAAATAAGAGCAGAAAAGCTTATGAAAAACCCACAATGATATATGCATTAGTCCTAAATGTCATGCTTATATGACCTATTTCAAAGGCATTTTAGCCCCAGATATCAAGGAATAAAAATGGAGAATTATTCACACATTTTAACAGAGAATTAAAATATCCTTTCCCACGACAACCGAAAACATACAGAAACGCCGGCATCAGAGACAATAAAGAACATGAAATAACTTTATTTGCATTAGGAAGTAAGATCATATCTTGATGATAAAAACTTTTTCATAGCTGTGGAGTAAAATGAGATTTTCAACTGATGATAAGTGAAATTAAGTTCATATCCAAACAGTTATACATTCTCATAGCCAAGGAGTACAATACAGTGTATAAAATATCAGACACCAAAATCTGGATTATTAGGAGCGGTCTAATGTCAAGGTCACCAATCTCATGTTCGATCTTTGTTTCGGTTCCATTTATATCATGTGTTTAGGTGATCCGAGCATCGCGCTCTCTCTCTCTCTCTCTCTCTCTCTCTCTCTCTCTCTCTCTCTCTCTCTCTCTCTCTGTCTCTATCTCTCTCTCTCTCTCTCTCTCTCTCTCTCTCTCTCTCTCTCTCTCTCTCTCTCTATCTCTCTCTGTCTTCGACTGGTTCTTCTTCATCTTTCAAGTTTACAATTTTCTCTGTGCTTTCCAATTTTCTCTCGTCCGAACGTGCTCAGAAAATCTTTACGTTTAATTCTAATAATTAGTTTAAGGAGTTCATTCTATAGTAAAAGGACTGCATCGATATTTTTCTGCCCATCCATGGCATTCATTACATTCTGCTCATAATTAACAATGAGAAGACTGACTTTAATTATATTTAATTAAAACCCATCTTGAAGCGTCTCTTTTGCAAGTAGCGGATGACCAATGTTGAAGGGGTTTCGTACACAGAAGAAATGACATGATTCCAACTGTGTTTTTGCGTATGAAGGGGAAGATGGGAGAAAGAGAGAGAGAGAGAGAGAGAGAGAGAGAGAGAGAGAGAGAGAGAGAGCGTGTGTGTGTGTGTGTGTGTGAGTGTAAGAGGTAAGGGTGGGGGGTGCACACCTGAACGGACTGAAGAAGTTACACACACCCGCGACAACAGAGAGCCAGGCAAACGGATTATTCACTTCGATACGTAGATTCTAATTGATTTGGATGAAAAAGTGGATGTAGATTTAATCTTTAGCGTTGAGCATATGTGGCTACTGATTCTTTTGTGGCTTATTTGAAGGCCCAAGATAGCAGCTTGTCCAATATTGTTCAGTAGACAATAGTAATCATGCGGTTATACAAGTCTCTTACTTAAGTTATGGAGCAGACCACATTCTAGAAGTGGACGAACAACCTGAACTTTCTGCAGGATTTTATAGTCGATGAACGCTAAAAATAAATAGTGGTGGTAATGGTAGTAGTAGTAGTAGTAGCAGCAGCAGTAGTAGTAGTAGTAGTAGTAGTAGTAGTAGTAGTAGTAGTAGTAGTAGTAGTAGTAGTAGTAGTAGCAGTAGTAGTAGTAGTAGTAGTAGTAGTAGTAGTAGTAGTAGTAGTAGTAGTAGTAGTAGTAGTAGTAGTAGTAGTAGTAGTAGTAGTAGTAGTAGTAGTAGTAGAAGAAGAAGAAGAAGAAGAAGAAGAAGAAGAAGAAGAAGAAGAAGAAGAAGAAGAAGAAGAAGAAGAAGAAGAAGAAGAAGAAGAAGAAGAAGAAGAAGAAGAAGAAGAAGAAGAAGAAGAAGAAGAAGAAGAAGAAGAAGAAGGGGAATGAGGGCGACAAGGAGAAGGAGAAGAAGTGTGCCACATCTTGTAAAAGATGTGCTACAATCAGAATCGTCAAGTGCTTTATATATGTGTCTATGTGTCTATGTGTGTGTGTGTGTGTGTGTGTATTTCTTTTCAAGCCTTTAGGCGAATCAGTTAAATGGGAAAAGCACCCATATTTTTTACAGACCATTCGCCACTAGGTGGGTAATAAGGTCAGCATTACGCCGGCCTTCTTTACTTCCCCAGGACATACATCCTGGTGCCTATTTTAGGCAGGGTCGACCTGCAACGCCCTATACCATGATAAAAATCTCCGCAGCCAGTTGTAGGTTTCGATCGTGGAAAGCTGGAATTACGAGTCGGACTGGGAGCGGTCCTAAGCCACGGACGCCGCATATATATACACACACTCAACATTATATAATGGTGCAGATTCATGAACAGTTAACAAGCAACTAAAAATGTAATTAAACCTCTGAGATGTGGATATAGATAAGCATATGTTGTATTTCATGGGAACAAAAACAATCAGATACACACAGTCTTCGGGAATGAATAGGGAGTTGCTCAAAGAAAGAAAAAATGACAAATGAAATAATTAGGGAAATATTAAAAGCAATAACACTTGTTTAAAAACCATTCTCAAAAGAAAAATTCCGAGGCAATACACCAAAAGGCAGACATCAATACAAGAGGGAGGACAACTGGAAGAGGTGGATCTGCAGAAACCAAGACAAGAGACAAGAGTGTTGAAGACACATTGTTGACGACCTTCTTTGGGAAGACGGCATGACTGATTGAATATTCTACTTTTTCCGTTGTCGTCTCACTGATACCAGGTTGTAGTCCAGTGTCATGTCATGAGTATCAACCTAAAAGTCGAGTATATTATTAAGTTACCTTGGTTTCTGTTGTAATATCGTCCTCGCTTCGCAAAGACGACTGGCTGATCATCACTGTAACTGTTCATAAGCGATCCTAATTCTGCATCATCCAGAATGGCCACTCCATTATCGTCGTCATCATAAAGAAGAATATTATCCGGAGAAAGCTCATTGTTTGACGTCTGCTGCAATGGAAAAACTTCCGTCATGGCTGCCAAATTTTTGCCACTAGAATCTGAAAAGAATATAATTAATTAATTACTGTTAACATCGATTGCGTGTCACATATTTATTCAGTTAGTCTTCATGAGGTTTTTTTTATCATCATATTACTATCTTTAATTAGTGGAGATTAGGCATGAAGTTTTAATGATTGTGTAATCCAATGTTTGCTAGATATTTGTTTTGTGGCCTTATTCTATGCGATATTCTATATTCTGCTTCTGCTTCATCGTCGTCTTCCTAATATCCTCCTCTTCCTCATCTCTCCTCCCAATCCTCAACTCCTTTTTCTTGTTCTTCAATGCCTTCTCTATCTTTTCTTCTTCTTCATGTCCTTCAGCTACCGCTGGTGCTGTTGCAACTCATTTCTAAAGCCTCTGTAAAACAAAAAGGTATTAGAACAAATGCTATATATGTTAAAAAAGTGTAGAACCATTTACTTCACCTTAAAGCGTATTGCTTAGAAGGTGACATAAAGACACGAGATCTAATTGGTTATTGGTGCTGGCACTATATTCTTCTTATATTCAGCGGAGGTGAGTTGATCTGACCTATCATTGACACATTCTCACAGAAGTTCCAGTTCCGACTGTACCTGTTGCAGTTGGATTCTCTGCTTGCCGTTCTGCCTGTTGAGTGACGGTCAGATCCCTTAGTCTTCATTGCACCATTCACTTCAGATGGCGATTGTTTATTTATGTACCGAACTGTTTACTCGCTAATAAAGAAATCTCACAAAATGTAGCATCAGTTTATCCCCTAAAGGTGCCAAACGAACCAATCTGTCTGACTATTTTCCCAACACTCTGCATACCCTAGACAAATTTTGAAATAGACACTAACTGATCGGGACCTCTGAATCGATGCCACTTTGCGAAGAACATACATGTTTCCCTATTTTTGAACATGCTTTGTGAGTCATCTACAATCTCGACATTTATATGCAGCGGATTATCAAGCCAGCGGAAAGCTACAGTGACTGCCTCCATCTCCAGTCGCAAACTAGATGTTGGGATATCAAATGGTATACTTTTTTGCCCTTCGAATCGCCCACCTAGTTTTGTTTTGCGATGAACCTCGCTTTATTTAGTCCGCATCTCAACACAGAGCCATCTATATAGATAATCATATCTCGAAATTTGTCAGCAATTAGATGTTAAACTTCTGATTCTGCAGTGTCGGCTAGCTAATGTCTGCCCTATTGGCCCAGTGTGATTTGATACACTCGTCTCCTCGCCAACTATTCCCAACCATGCCCACAGATCTGACTTTGCCTTCAGCTTGCGTCATGCACGACCTTCCTCTTTTCAGTCTATGTCCCTTAACTCTAGCTAGGACTGCATTACAAATACACCAACACTAACTGTATGTCTGTGATCAGAGATCACGGAGAGAACTCGTACAAGGACGTTTCTAGCCATAAGTTTTGATCCCAGTGGTAATGAAGATAAAGGGGTGTTTAAAGGCGCTAAGGATTATGGCTGAAACAAACTACGAAAAACGTCACCTATTTTTCTTACACCAAGGTCTGATTCTTTCTGTAACTGGGTACGCTCTGGCGATTCTGACTTTTCATCGTACCCAAATAGAGAGACTAGATCAGATACAGAATGAGACTACGAGCATCACACTTGAATGCACAAAGAATGCGGCATGAAGGGCGATGCGTTACCTCCTTGATCTTGCAACCATAGAAGTTAGAACAATCATCTGCCGAGCAATCGCGTAATGCTCCCAAAGATAACAATGATACACTGTGGCCAACTTTATCATGGAGACAGCCTACACATTTATTCTATACGTATTTAAGTCACAGGACTTAGCCATGCTAGTGTAAAAAAGCACCCCAAAAAAAAGAAGAAAAAAGACCCATTATTATTGTCAAAATAACCGAAATCTAAATAAAACTAAAGGAAGCAATGCTGAACGATGCAATGGTAAATATTATCTAGTAATGAAAGAGTATACTAGAACTTTGGTTTATACAAGGCGGTAAAAGAGGAAGTGAATAATAATAATAATAATAATAATAATAATAATAATAATAAGAAGAAGAAGAAGAAGAAGAAGAAGAAGAAGAAGAAGAAGAAGAAGAAGAAGAAGAAGAAGAAGAAGAAAAGATGAAGATGAAGAAGAAGAAGAAGAAGAAGAAGAAGAAGAAGAAGAAGAAGAAGAAGAAGTAAAAAGAAGAAGATGAAGAAGAAGAAGAAGAAGAAGAAGAAGAAGAAGAAGAAGAAGAAGAAGAAGAAGTAAAGAAGAAGAAGAAGAAGAAGATGAACTTTGAAGAAGAAGAAGAAGAAAGAAGAAGAAGAAGAAGAAGAAGAAGAAGAAGAAGAAGAAGAAAAGAAGAAGAAGAAGAAGAAGAAGAGAAGAAGAAGAAGAAGAAGAAGAAAGAAGAAAGAAGAAGAAGAAGAAGAAGAAGAAGAAGAAGAAGAAGAAGAAGAAGAAGAAGAAGAAGAAGAAGAAGAAGAAGAAGAAGAAGAAGAAGAAGAAGAAGAAGATTTTTCGATCTATGGTCTACTCACTAAATTTAAGTTTTTAGTGATATTATTTAACATCAACGTTGTTCCCACTCGAGCGCGCGCGCGCGTATTTGTGTTTGAACATGACTACTGCAAAAGTAACGAGGATATTGCACAATTTAAAAATAAAAGTTATCATCTCATCTTATCTTATTCGATTTGAACCACTGCACAGAATGATAGGAGACACGGGTTCGAAACCTCGGCAAGGCTGCACTAGCCATGCAGCCCGAAATCCTCAGGTTGAAAGATCCCCCCAACCACCTACAGAGCATGACTGGTAAACAGAGCCAGTGAAGGCCGTAGTGGCTGCGGAATATGTTAACACTCATTCCATCAACTCCCCTTTTCCATTACAATTCTTTTTTTTTTTTAACACTTTTGAATGTCAAGCTGTCATCGTCGTCATCATCATCATCATTATCATCATCATCATCACCATCATCATCATCATCATCATGCGCTATATCAATAAGAGTAGGTGGTTATGGTTGGCTAATGAAAAAAATTACTGCAATCGCTAATCAGGTCTGTGTTCTTGACCAGCAGTCCAGGTATTTATAAAAACTGTATTCACAAGGGAAATGAATCGTTTTAGTCACAAGGCAGACTAAGATGACGATGGAAAGATTGTATCCAGACAGAAATAACCATTTGCTGTCACCAAGGCCAGCCAGAATAATGAATGGAGGCGGGGGATATCTGCAGCAATGAACCTCGAAGGCTCGGAATGCTGAACAAAAAGAAGAAGAAAAAAAAATAATAATAATGATAATAATAATAAGAAGAAGAAAAAGTAAAAAAAGAAGAATAAGAAAAAGAACGAGGAGGAGGAGAAGAAGAAGAAGAGGGAGAAGAAGAAGAATCCAGTTGTTTCTCGTAGTTTTCTCGTGCCTCCCTAATCAAAAGTTGCCGGTTGTCACAAATGTGTCAGGTTTTGTTTTATCTCTTCATACCCAAAAAATATAGATTATATAAGTCCGGTTAGCAAATTAAAACTAATTCTAAATTTAAAATGTTTAATTCTAATGTCAAACCAATACTGCTGTATGGAACGGAAACATAATGAACAACTAACACAATTACTAATAAACTACAAACATTTATTAGCTGTTTGGTATCTGCTCAGAACACTGGGAATTAAATGTATGATAGAATCGCTTTGCGGAGCTGTGAAAGATAACAACTTTCAATAAATCAAGAGTTGTATAAATTATGGTGGCGTTAGATGGAACTGATACTGAAAAAACATGAGAGACATATAACTATAATTTCTTTACACTGAAACCCACAGGGGGATACAATTAAAGGCAGACCAAAAACCACACGCAGAAGGATACTAGATAGAGAAGTTAGGAGATAGGGAGGACGTTGTGCGAGCTACGTGAAACAGCAAAGGATACGACGGCTTGGCGTGAGTTAGTTGAAAGCTTATGCTCCATTGGAGGATAAAAGGCAAAAGGAGAGGTAGTCTACTTTCATCGCAAAATTAAAAGTTCAATCTGCTTTCTGGTTGATTATGTATCTTAGTAGACTCGTTTCCAAAACGAGGCACATTCGTAATCTGAAGGTGACTGATTCGATTCCCGGCACGGTAACTAGATTTCGATTGTTATGTTGCTAGTGCATCCTTTGATTTACTTTATTTTCTTTCTGTGAGTACCCATCAATACGTTTTCTGTATGTTCATTATATATTATTATATTCACGGTCTCAGGGGTTTTCCCCTCTGTTTATTTAATGTATATTTGAAGGATTGATTCATTTCTTTTCTGTATCGTCTATGTTATTTTTTTCAGTCTTTAAAAAAACATCGTATTTCAGCTGACGTTAGACATTTCGCAGCTTACCAGAGCAGGCAGTTCATTAACCAAATAAAAAAACCCATTATCTATATAGTCAGTGTACTCTAGCTTGTCTATTTCAGAAGTCGGAACCGGATACAACAAGGACGCTAATCTAGCTCAAGTCTTTGCCTTGGAAACGGATTGCAGTCTAGTTTGGAGATTAGATGGAAGGGAAGAGGCAGGAAGCAAACCGATTCCTCAGTAGTGCCGTAGCAAAGCCGGATTTGTGGGCCTGAAGAGCTTAAATATCAGTGTTTCTTGTAGTGATCGAGTCTCTCAGATGATCAAAACACTATTAAACGTAATTTTTGGCACAAAGAAAGAAGTAGCCCCAGGTGGATTTTTCTTCTCGAAACTGTCCTTGTTTCCAGTGTATTATTCATCATCATCCTCATCATCGTCGGCTCTGTGGCTAAGTCGTTGCGAACGCTTCATAAAGCCGGTATGCCGGGTTCGATCCCAGCTGCGGGCCATGCGCCTTGCGTTGGTTTCGACAGTGGTATCAAGAAAGCCGACCATTCAGAAGGCAATGGCTAGCTACTAGACGTAAATTTGCCTAGAAAAACCAGACAACAGCCAAAGGGCTGGTTCTGCAACGTCCTGTAAAGGATAAGCAATTAACCTAACCTATCCTCATCATCGTT